CAGCCCGGCCGGCCTGGGCTCCGGGTGCAGCATCCCCCTTCTCTTTGAACAGCATGCGCTAGTCTGTGCATCTCTTAAGTAAAAGCTGTGGTCTATACCAAGTAGTTGTACAAGTATGCGTGACTGTTAAGTAGCTCGCTTTTGGAAAGTACTAGCGAATTAGCCTGGTAAGAACGATGGAACTACTTCTTTAGGGAAGATAAAGGTGGGCATGAAAGTATTTCTTCACCATTTTCTCTAGCTAGTCTTGTTACGTATGCCCCTTATTGGATGTTCTCTGCGTGCCCCATGTGTCTCAGGAGTTTTCAGTGCATGCACATCTGACTGTGAATGGCAGGGGCACATCTTGATTTAGCTATAATGTCTTACAAGTAAGCTTGATTCACACCAGTATCGAGCTTATTGCAGTCAAAATTCTTGTTAATAATTATTTAGAAGAGAGTCCTCAGGCAAGTGCCCTTCAGCGTTTCTTAAAATGTTTTTCTTGGGTGAATAAAAAAAATATGTTCATGTGTTGTTGAGAAATATTGCTTGGTGTTCTTGTTTAATTTTTCATAATGACATAATGCCTTTTACTTAATTGTTTTGATTCTTGCAGTTGATTCTTCAGGGGAGCTCATCTCAAAGTATAACTTTAAAAAGATTTGCAAATAATGAAAGAAAATGTCGCATAAAAGCTCTAAGGAAATCAGGAGAGTAAACATTTCTAGCTCCTTGGAGTCTGAAGATATTAGCTTAGAAACCACAATACCAACCGATGATGTTTCTTCCTCTGAAGAAAGAGAAGGCACTGTTAAAATCACTAAGCAGCTGATTGAACGGAAAGAGTTACTCCATAATCTTCAGCTGCTTAAAATAGAATTATCTCAGAAAAACTTGATGATTGACAACTTGAAAGTAGAATATTTGACAAAGGTAAGAAATGTTACTGCTTCTGTTATATATTCCTTTTTTATTTCTGGTGCTTTTAGAGTATGGTAGAAACTTCCATTCTGAAAAGAATTTCTGTGAATTGCATACTGGAAGCCTACTTAGTTTTTTTTTTAATGGAAAAAGAAGAAACAAAGCTATGTAAAACTCATCTGATTTTTGTCCAACGTGTTATACTTACAAATAATGGATGAGGGGGATCAAATTAGTTTTTCCTTTCCTAAAAAACAAAGGGAAAAGATCAAAATGGCAAATAATTTTATCACTGATGTAAGCAATTTCATAAAGCTTTTATCCTGTACTTGTGGAATACTAGAAAGTCATCTGAATGCTATTCAATGATCAGTTAATGAAGATGTGGCTAATATAACATGCTAATAGTAGGAGATTTTGTTGTCTACAGTTTCCACTAAGATACATGAAATTGAGAAAAGTGTAAAAGCTTGACCACGTTTGTATGCAGTCAATATTTACAACCTACTATGTACTGACTGTGGCTTTGACTGGCTTGCTGCTCAGAGATTAAGCCTACTTTGAAATCAGCTGAACAGGTCAATATTTTTTTGGCCAAAAATATTAGTTGTAGAACTAAGTCTTTTTTATTTCTAGTTCATTGAGGCAAAATCCATACTTAGCATATTTAGAGGTCTTGTTACACAATCGTTATTGTACTTCCTAGCGCGTTGGGCGCTCTACTTTTTTCTTTGAAGTTGTTCTTTCTGTCAAATATGTTTTAAAAAATTACCAAAGTAACTTCTTTTCTTAATTTTGAATTTATATTCTTTGTATTTAGATTGAAGAGCTGGAAGAGAAGCTTAATGATGCAATCCATCAAAAGCAGCTGTTGTCTTTACGACTGGATAGTCAGCTGGCATTACAGCAAGAAGATGCTAGGTATGATGGAAGTAAACCAAAAAAACTTCATCTTTAATAACTTATTAATCTGAATTCAAATTAATTCATGGACAGTTAATGGAAAGTGATGATTATGAATTACAGGAGTAGGATTTCTTTTGCAGATTATATTAGTATTTCCATTCTAAAATGAAATTTACATATTCAATTTACATATAAATAAATTTGAAATAAGCTCTCACTTGCTGAAGTTTGTGGGTTTGGCTTTATTGTTACCTGGATGTAAAATTTAATAGGAGTTTGGAATAAGAATGTTCTTAGAACCAGTATAGAGCAAAAGGAGTAGATAGAGTGGCAGATTTTCCATCAGTTTAAAGTATAATTTTTAATAACTGCAGCCTGGATGACTTGGGAAAGGTAAGGGAATAATATTTAGCACTTCTGGTTAGGATTGCTTATTCGTCAGAAATGCTTTCAGTTAATGATGCAGAAACTTAGTTTTTCCCTTGCTTTTCTGAAACATTTTGAATTAAATTATAGCTGAAAATAGACTGGCAGGCAGGCTCCTCCAAATTACTCTGTCAATTAAATGTTTTAACACCTGTAATAAGTAATGCTGTTCCTTCACAGTCGTAATATTCTCATCTTAGTTGAGGATGCACCAACTTACAGGATGTGACTAATTCAAAGTCATATTCTTTAGTAAGCCTGGAGCAGATTTAGGGATGTGAAGCCAGATCTGAGATTAGTTACAGCAAAGTCTTTCAACTAAGAGCCACTGACTGTCAGGAAAACATGTCTCATTCTGTATGCTTATTTGCACAGGTGTAGAATATTTTTATGTTGGCCATACTAGAGGTGTCTGAGGAGTGCTCAGCAAAAAAGTACTAATGTGCAAAATGGTGTTAATGGGCATAAAAAAGTTGAACTACTTTCCTTTCCCCAGTCTTTTAAATTATTTTTCTTGTCTATTACCTCAGTTTTTATCCCCGTTTAACAGAATCGTACGTTATGTGAAGAATATATCCTCGTGTGACTGCTTGGCTGACCTGGGATTTTCTTTTGTCTTTTTGAAACAAGTGGGACAGGCATTGCCTTGTAGTACTAGCAGAGCTAGTATTTTTAATATTACTTTTAAAATAATGTAGGAATTATTGCATTTTTGAAGAATTATTTAATTTTAATATGTTTTCAAGAGTTACAGCTAAAACTTCCAAAAAAGTAGGTCAGTCGCCTTTGATTAAATAAAATAAAGCACTTTGAAATATCTCTAAGTGACAGGCAGTTTCTCTTTATGTACCTTGTCATTAGTGATAATAGTGATGAGAGTGTTTTAAGGCTGGAAGTATAGTTGCTTGTTTAAGTGTAGTGGTGAGGGGTTTTTTGTGTGTTACACTGGGTAGAAAATGAAGGGTTGTGTGTGGAATAGGCCATAAGCATGTATGTGCTGAAACTTGGCATGACACAAATTGAAATTACTATTGCTTTATTTGATGATTTACTAATGCCTTGGGTTTTGTGTGGAAATATAGTCTGCTTTTTCATGTTTTTAACCTTTTAATTGGTTTATTAAGGCTAATTTATAAATTCAAGTCAGCATATGTGGAGATTAACTGTTACTTCTCAGATTCAGCTTTGTATTGTCAATGACTATGAAGTTCCTGGTTTTTTATGTATAATGTCTGATGTGATTGTGTAACTATGGTGGTATACACTCCTGTGCTAATTACCTAATCTCTCTGTAAATTTTCCCTTCTACAAAATGAGCATAACTCACTCCCTTGCCAGAGTATTGTGAAGGTTCGTCACTTGTATTACTCCCTTCTTAATGTCTTCTGTTTTCAAATCAATCTTAAAGAAAACATCAGGCTCTGATGAAACAAGAAATGGAAACTATTTTATTGAGACAGAAGCAACTGGAGGAAATGAATCATCAATTAAGGGAGAGGGCTGGAGATATTCGTCGTAGCTTGCGAGATTTGGAATTAACAGATGAATGCTATGAGAAGCTAAAGTCTCTTCCTGAAGATCAGCTTTCTATCCCTGAATATGTTTCTGTGAGTACTGTGTTTTGTATTGGTTTAAAATATAGCTGTGTCTGGGTCTGGCTGGGATGGAGTTAACTTTCTTCATAGCAGCCTGAATCTTGCTGTGCTTTGGATTTGAGGCTAAAACAGCGTTGGTAACACACCAGTGTTTTTGCTATTGCTGGACAGTGCTTGTGCGGCATCAGGGCTTACTCTTTTTCCCCACTCTGCCTCCCCTTGTCCTCTGTGAACAGGCTAGGGGTGGACATGAGATTGAGAGGGGACACAGCTGGACAGCTGACCCAAATTGTCCAAAGGAATATTCCATACCACCTAATGTCATGCTTAGCAATATAAACTGGAGGTAGAGGATGGAAGGGGGCAGGGGAGGCACTGGCTGCCAACGTGGTTATTGCTCTGAGGCTTAGTAGAGATCAGTCTGCTTGTGGGAGGTGGTGAGTGATTGTCTGCGTGGCTTGCTATTTTTTTAAAATTCATCCCTCCTTCACTTCTTTCCTTCACTGTTGAGAAAACTCAATACATGAATTTTCTTGCTTTTGTTCTTCCCACTCTCTCTGCTGTCCTGCTCCCATTGGAGGCAGGGAGTGAGCGAGCAGCTGTATGTGTGATTGGCTGCTGGCCAGGGTCAACCCACCACAAGCCGTAAATTGCTTTTATTTGGAATTAGAGGGATGTGCATGTAGTAGAAGCTAATCTATACTCCTAGAATTCTTATTCTTCCCCAAGTAGAAATGAAAGACCTTCAAAGGCGTATGTGCTTCTGTATCAGTTCATTTTGACTGGATTCCAGTAGAGAACCTTTTAATCTGAGACTCTGATGTCTTAAAGAGAGTAGAACTGCTGTTGTATTTTAAGATGGTGAAGCAAATGGGGCATTAAAATCAAATGATGGACACACATTGATGATATGACATACAGCAGTCTGAAAATGGGAATTTGAAACTCAACTTGCCAGAACCACAAGTTGAGATGGCTCTTGCAAACATCCCTTACCATTCCCTCATACTTTCCATCTGGCCCTTTCCTATCTGACTAAGTGCAGGAGATAAATTATACTTTAAAGTATACTTTAAGGCTCATTTTCTTGATTTAAGAATTTTGTTAATTATGACTTATGGGTGGATGGAGAAGCAGGGGTGGTACTCTGCTTGCAATAAAAAGACAGTGCCTTCACAGACATGTAAAGAGTATCCTGGCTCACTTCTGAGAATGAAGAGGATTTAGACATGTAAACCTTAGTTCATCAAAGTATTAGCATTGTACTCGTTTATAGAGCTAGTTATTAAGGAAGCTGTAAATAAGATAATGTTTAAAAGTTTAGTGCCCTTGTTGAGGTATAAATGCTGTGTGAATGAGTTCTCTTGCTGGGTAAAAATCATGGTATACTGTACTCTAGATACGTGCAGGGAAGTAAAATTCGTCATCCTTATCTAAAGGGAGAAATTCTTGGGAACATCTTTTGAAAAAGTTATAAAACTTGGACTTTTGAAAGTACTAGGAAAATCTTAAGGCTCTGAGTGGGGTGGCTCTTAGCTTGGGGTGGATTAGATTATTACCCCCTAGCTGTCTACTGTACCCACTGCCCTCTATAGAGGGCAAAACCTCTATTGGAAGGTTTTTTTGTTGATTCCTGCACCACCACGGTGGACAAAGCAGATTTTTAACACAAACTGAAATCCACGTCAACTTTCTTGAAATTGGTGTGCAGGAAGCTCTGGGACTTCAGGAGTTGATTGACAGTACAAAAGACGGCGTAGCTAGGCAGGACAGATCCCAGGAGTTAGTAACCTTGCCAGCTGCATTAAGCTGTTACAGCACAAACTGAACGTTTAGCCTGTACTTGTGAGTAGAAAGAGGCTCTAAA